CTTTTTTTTTTTTTAATTACAAATTATCCAAATTGCACTAAATAGATTTACAACAATGATTGAGACCCCATTTTTTGGGGACCCCCATAAGCCCATTTGGATCTCAACCATTGATGGTGTGGACCTTACACATACATAAGTGGGTCCTACACATACATGAGTGGGTGAAATCCAAAGGAGTTGTGGGGGTCCGAAGCATTTTTGATAGACATATATATTTTTAATTTTTTTAAAGTACTAATTAAAAAAGTTATAGACAAAAATTAACTTATAAATTTCATACATTCCGCAAGATAAAATATTAAATTACTTCAACATATTCATAATGATTTGTTTTTAAATTATAAAGTTCCGTGCATAGCACGAGTTACCACTAGTCTATACTATATATTAAGTAAAATGAGGTTTTTAACCCTAAACCTTGTTGGAGCTCGAATCTCTCAATCTAAATTTTCTAATTTTTTGATTTTAAAAAAAAAAAACGTTAACATTTATTAACTTCTCCCAACCCCCAAGTCTTACTCTCATAATAACACTTTAATGCATTAAGAACAAGCATAAAAAAATCTTTAAAATCCAACACATATGAATTCCTTAAAAAGTCCCAACACATATAATTATTATCCCTCATAATAACACTTTAATGCATTAAGAACAAGCATAAAAAAAATTCTTGAAAAGTCTAACACATATGATTATTATCAAAATATTAAATTTAATATAATATAATAAAAAAAAACATTTAATTCATTGAAAAGTCTAACACATATGATTATTATCAAAATATTAAACTTTAATATAATACAAAAAAGAAAAAAAAGAAGGCATTTAAAAAAAATATAAAAAAAGACATTTAAAAATTGCAATTCACATATATAGATAATTATCTATACTATATATTAAGCAAAAGGGGATTTTTAATCCCAAGCCTTATGGGAGCTTTAATCTCCCAATCTAAATTTCCTAATTTTTCGATTTAAAAAAAAAAAAACCTTAGCATTTATTAACTTCTCTCAACCCCCAAGTCTTGCCCTCATAATAACACTTTAATGCATTAAGAACAAGCATAAAAAAATTCTTTGAAATCCAACACACATGAATTCCTTTAAAAGTCCCAACACATATGATTATTATCCCTCATAATAACACTTTAATGCAACAACAACAAGTATAAAAAAAATTTCTTGAAAAGTGCAACACATATGATTATTATCAAAATATTAAACTTTCATATAATATAATAATAAAAAAAATAGTTAATTCCTTGAATATAATAATAAAAAAAAGACATTTAATTCTTTGAAAAGTCCAACATATATGATTATTATCAAAATATTAAACTTTAATATAATATAAAAAAGGAAAAAAAGAAAACATTTAAAAAAAATATTTAAAAATCACAATTCACATATATAGATAATTATAAACACAATCCGTACATAACACGGGTGATATGCTAGTATTATATAAGGAAAAAAGGGTTTCTAACTAACAAGTCTTGTGGGAATTCCGATATCCCAATTTTAATTTCTAATTTTTTGATTTAAAAATAATAATAATTTCAGTATTTATTGACTTCTCCCAATCCACAAGCTTTTTTAACTTCTCTCACTATTATTGCAACACCCTATTCAACTTTTCCCATACACTATAGTTAGTGATGAGATTATTAAATTATTTTTATCAAAAATCTAAAAATAATATTTTGTATATTAAAAAAATATCTAAAACAAATATAAATATCTATGTCTATCTATATATTATATAAAGGAAAGGCTTGTGAGAGTTCCAAACTCTCATGCTACAATTATTAATTTTTGTGATTTTAAAAATATTTAAAAATAATTCTATTGGCTAACAAAGTAATTATAGATTTAAAAAAAAACAAAAAACAAAAAATCACCTAAAATTTTGAATTATAAGTTCCTAAAATCTTCCCCAATATTTCTCTCTTTCCTAAATCCCATCTCTTAATAAAGTAACTATACATTAAAAAAAAAAAATCTCATCTCATAACAAAGTAATTATATATTTTAAAACAAAACATTATGGATTAAAAAGAATGTGAAACCACAATTGCTAATTTTTGTAATTTTAGAAATAGTACTATTGTTTAACAAAATAACTACAGATTAAAAAAAAAAACTAAAATTGCTAATTTTTGTAATTTTAAAAATAATACTATTTGCTAACAAAGTAACTATAGATTGGAAGAAAAAAAAATTCAATTACAAGTTTTTAAAATCTCTCCCCTAATATTTATCCCTTTTCTAAATCTCATAATCTATCTATGCTATATATTATACCAAAGTAGGTTTTCATCTTAGAGACCCTAAATGTTTCAAAACCTTAAATCTAATTTTTTAAAAAGAATATAAATCCCATCCAATCTTTCTCTCTTAAAATAAATATAATGAAAAGAAAACTCTCTCACCTCCCATAAAATGTATACTATTAAAATATTTCACAACTGGTCTAATCTATACAAACTTAAAATTAAGCCTAATATAAAATAAAAATTAAACCTTATATCTAGATTCTCTCTCTAATCCATAATTAAACCCAATTTTATTTCCAAATAAATTTAAGCATATCTATACTATATATAATTTTTTAGAAAAATCTCATAATTTATTATTTTTTATAATGATTCCATGATTTATAATTTAGAAAAGAAAAGATGAAAAAAATTATTCTTGTGCACTCTATCTCTAACCAATTCTTTCTTCTTTCAAAAAAAAATTTAGCCATCATACATTATAATTTTTCTAAGCCATTCATGTCTTGCTCGCCCTATAAATATTATATTCATAGAACAATGAAACTCATTGCTTTTCAACTTTATTTTTATGAGACAAATTGGAAGTTAGTTTATGTTTAATCTGTTCTATTCTTTAAATAGACTCTTTTATCTTTTAGGTACACCATTTCTTCTTCTTCTTCTTCTTCTTTTTTTTAATCTATGACCATTTTTTTTTATATTTCATATTTTGTGTGTTATTTCTCCCTCTTCTCTACCAACCATTATCTGGTTTTTGTTTATAACTACTTTTTGTTCGTTAATATTGTTTTCCTAGAATTTTTATGCTAAAATGGTTTGATAGAGTCATTTGTATAATAAAAAAACATGTCACTCACTGTAAAGTGATAGATAAAAATCCAAACAAAATATTTATTAATAAGTTTTTGTATTGATTTTATGTTTGTATATCATTACTTTTTTTAAAAAAAATTTACTTTTAATATTTTTTTGATATCATGGTATGTGTTAATTGACAGTTGGTGCAGAGCATTATTTCAAAGGCATATAATAGTTTTTCAAAGTTATAAATAGAAAATTTTAATTTTAATCAATTTTTTCAAAATTATTAAAGGTGTTGGTCAATTATTTAATTATTTATCTTTAATATGTGCAGCTCCTCTATTCTTTTATAGTACTTATCTCTCTACTCCACTGTGAGTTCATATGTTTTTTTTTAAAAAAATAAATCATATGTAATTTAAAATTTTGAATCTTTTTATATAGGAAGCTAAAAAATAAATTTTAGAATTTTAAATATAGCTATACAAGACCATATCTTTTTAAATATAGCTATATTTATAATTAATTTTAATCTATCTATTACCTATCCTTATTTATATTATTATATAAATAAAAATGTTGTACAATAATTGAAATTCAAAGTACTAATCTATTTTCATACCTTTTTTTATTTATATTGTTATATAAATAAAAATGTTGAATGATAATTGAAGTTGAAAGTCCTAATTTTTTTTTTTTTTTTTTCAAAATTTAAAATTGTTAAAATGCATATGTTGCAATATCATTAATTTCTTTTTATTATAAATTTTATTTTATAAATCTTATAAGATTTGTTCAATGACTAATATTCAATTTTTGTAAAAAAATTCCAATATATTCCTTCCAAAAGTTAATATAGCAAGTCTACAAAATCATATTTTAAAACTCAAAATAATTAATATTTTTATTTTTATTTTATTTATTTTTGTTTTCAATAAGCATGTGAAAATATAAATAATATCCAAATCAAATTATACGTATTAATAAATATGATATTAGTTTTAATTGTAATAACATCTTTTTAAAGTCTATTCATTTTAAATTTTTTTTTAATATCTTAAATTACATGCTATGATGATTTTTTTTTATTCATTATGTTTTTAAAATTTCTTTAATTATTTTCCTTTCAAAAATCAATATAACAATTTTTCAAAATTCATATATTTTTATTCTACAATAGTGAAGTATTAGAACTATGTCTTTTTTTTTATGACAAAGCATAATTTTAATTGTTAATTGTCAATATAACAATTTTAATCTATGTTTATGAGTAAATATTATAGTAAAGAAACATTTGAAACAAAACTCTTAAACTTATGTATAAAATTTAATTTACGAAAGAAAAAATATAAAAAATTAAATATAATTATCATAATTTTAATAAATAATATATTATCCCGTGCTATCTAATAATATCTACCTCTCAACTAAGGCTGAGCAAGAAATTCGTAAAATTCGTAATCCGATCCGGTCCAGTTCAATCCGATAGGTTTGGATTGGTTTTTTGAATCCGTGGTTCAGTTCCAGATTGAAAAATTCAAAATCCATAGGCCACGGATCGGTTCCGGATTGAACCTCACGGTTCCGGATTGGAACCGATCCGGACCATCTAAAAATAATCTATATTTTTATACTATATACCTTCCCACACCATATAATTTCTTATATGATATAAAAACTACGGCCGTGATTGAGGCCTCGAAAATGAGGCTCGAAATTGCCTCGAATGCATTTTTTTTTTCTAGGCTAATACATTGCAGAAAAAAATAAATAAAAATAATAATAATAATAACAAGCAAAGCATCAACCCAGCAAAAAAAAAAAAAAAAAAAATTCGAGGCAAATTTGAGCCAAAAAATTTGAGGCCTCAATCATTAATCTAAAAACTAAAATGTAAACCTAATCCAGCAGCCTCCCCTTCACGCCTCTCAGTCTCATCTCATCTCAGGTCTCTATTCTATATCGATGGTGTCTCTCTCTCTCTTTCCCATCTCAAACTGAGTTCTCTCTCTCACTCTCATCCATCTCAGATCAGATCGGTGTGCTGCTGCTATCTCTCCGTTGGTGAGCTCTCTCTCTCTCTCTCTCTCTCTCTCTCTCTCTGTTCTCATCTCTCATCTCTCTCTCGGATCGGTGACTATTTTTGTTTATTTATTCCCAGATCTCCATCTCAGATTAGATCGATCTATAGCTGTTGTCTTCCTCTTTCGGTGAGCTCCTCTCTCTCTCTCTCTCTAACACTTTGAAATAGGTTTAATCTGTAACACTCTGAAATAGGTTCCCAGATCATCCATCGCAGATTAGATCGATTGTTCATGTCATCTACAATGGATTCAGTGAATGTAAGTAGGAGATTTTTTTTTCTGTTTTTATTTTTATTTTTATTTTTATTGTGTTTTATGTTTACATTATGTTTTTATTTTTATTTTTATTATGTTTTTTAGATCGATTGTTTTTTTTTCTGTTTGTATTTCTATTTTCTGTTTTTATTTTTTATTTTTTATTTCTGATTTCATCTCTGTTTTGTATTTCTATTTTCTGTTGTTGTTTGTAACCATTGATGCACAGATCAGTGTTTATGGAAATTAAACTAGTTAGAAACATTGATTGGTTCTACTTCAAAGCACAAAAGTGTCGAAGATGTCTAGGATTTAAAGCCTGAAAGAGCTTGAGTTGATGTCCAAGATTTCTGACCTCTCGGAGCTTATTTTTTATTTCTGCTTTTTAATGTGTTTTTTGTTGATGGGTTTTCATTTTTAACGCTATTCAATCCAGTTTCAAGACTCAATTTTTTTTTTGTCTGATACTTTCATCGAATACCTAGGCTGCATAATTTGTTGATGTTTGAAATTTTTTCTCTACTGCATTGTGTGAGCGTCTTTGCCATAAAATTTAATGGTTTCAGAGTGTGTTTCTGTGTTAATTGGAAGATCCAGTTGCATATTGAATGTTTTTATTGATGGGTTTTCCTTCATGTTGTAATTTTATTTGATCCAGTTTGAAAGCTTTTAGTTTTTTTATTTTTATTTTTTGTTCTTGCATCAAATACTTGGACTGTGTTGAGCTTTGAAAATGTTTCTGTAGAGCATTGTGTGAGCCTCTTTGTCATAGAGTTGAAAGAGTTCAGAGTTTGTTGATGTGTTAATTAGAAGATCAAGTTTCATATAGTTACTTTTGGTTCTAATCAAACTTGATCTTTGAGTTTTGTTGTGGTGTTTGTTCATTTGTTTACATTGTATATAATTTATTGAGGTTCTTTGTTTGGTTCTTAAGTTATGAATATTGAAATGGTAAGTATATCAATTCGAACCAAAAGAGAGATTGCATAAATAGTAATTTTTTTTTAGAAAGTAGGAACTAGGAACTGCTTGCATGTTGAATTTCTGTTTTACAATGCTCTTTACCTTTTTCTTTTTATTCCCTCTTCTTTACCCTTTTCTTGTTGGAATTGATTCAGCACTATTGTTGATGTGTGTTTGCTTGGAATGGATGATGTTTGCTTAGAATGGAGGATGTTTGCTCCAGTTTATAATGGAATGGATGTTGTTTACTTGGAATGGGTGTTGTTTTTACTTATATTGTTTACAGGTTTACAGGAATGGAGTTGCTATTGGAATGGAAATGCTAGTGGCATAGGATGTTTACAGGTTTTCAGTTTATGGAAATGCTAGTGGAATAGAATGGAAATGCTAGTGAAATGAAAGTTTAATTTGGAATGGTTTGCAGTTTATAATATTGTTTACAGGTTTTCAAATAGGATGTTTACTTATATAATATTGTTTACAAGTTTACCACTCAGATTATATTGTTTGCAGGCTGCTATTAGAATGGATGTTTAATTATATTGTAGACAGGTTTTCAGCAGCTATGTTGCTATTGGAATGAAAATGTAATGTCTATATCTTTTTTGTTATTTAATTATTTAAATCCGTGGTCCTAAACCGATCCAATCTGTGTTTCAACGGATTGGTTCCACAATTTAAACGGATTGGATTGGTTCTAATTTTTCAAGCATCGTAGATAACGGATTGGTCTTGGTTTTCTCCCAATCCGGACCAATCCGGTCCATGCTTCCGTCCGAAAACTCTCTCACTGACTTCTATTATCTCTCTATCCCTCACTCACCGACTCAAATCTCTGCGTCTTTCCGGTCTCTCATCTCTCTCTCTCTCTCTCTCACCCTTACTGACTTCTCTCCTCTCTCACGATCCCTCACTCACTGTCACTGACTCAGATCTCTCTCTTTGAGTCTCACCGTTTCTCTCATCTCTCTCCCTCCCTCCCTCACTCAGCAATCATCTAGATCCATCATCACCAATCTGAACAGATCCTGAACCGTGGCCCATCCGTGAAGCTTCCGTTGCCACCGATCTGAACAAGACCAGGACCGTGACTGTGAAGCCCCCCTTCTCTCTCTCTCTCTCTCTCTCTCTCTCTCTCTCTCTCCCTATATATATATATATATATATGTTGTTGATGTTTTAATTTTTTTTTAAGTTGTATATATATATTAGTTGTTGCCACCGATCTGTTGTCTGTTGTTGTTGATGATTGTTGTTGATCTGAATAGTTGGTCTGTGTGTGTTGTGAACAGATAAGTCGGGGATATTTCGGGGTCGGGGAAACCCGATCCCCGTTAGGGAACGGGTGTGGGGGAGGTAAGGGCCTTGGATCGGAGGCGGGGACGGGGATGTTTTTACTTTTGGGGATCGGGGACGGGGACAGGGAGTGGCATCCCTGACCCCGCCCAGCCCGTTGCCATTCCTACATATCAGTCTCAAAAAGGGATGAACAGAGATATGGAGGTGGATGAAGGTAGGAAGGGGTGGGTCACTGCCACTGGTGGAGAAAGTGTGGAGGAGTGGGGTTGCCGAGGAAGGGTGGTCCAGAAGCACATCATTATTGGTAATAGTCTTAACCGATACAATTTCCTTTGGTTTTTGTCTTCAGTCTTCAAATCTGGCAATGGAGTAGCGAGCGAGGTTCTGGGTTGTGCAATTATGGTCATCACCGCTGGTGCTAGAGGCATCAGTGAACCCAATATCACTCTCCTAGTGGGTTGCTCAACTTGCTTTACTGAATAATGATTCACAACTTCCTCTGTTTCCTCAACATCTGTCCTTTACTGATAGTGTGTCGGTCACTTGTCTTTGTGCATGCCTACCAATTGTTTGTTGATATGCCCAAGTGTGGTGGGCCAAATATGATTGCTTTTCTTCTGCATTTTAGATTAGTGGCCCAAGCTGAAGAAGTCCTATTTTCAACTTGGTACCTTTATTTATTTGGTTTGGAGTTATTACTTGCCCTCAAATTGTTTGAATGCTTTTTACTTGGTTATAGTTTCAATTTTTTTTGGTGGTAATGCTTGATTTTGTGAGTTTTTTCAGATGGGTGGGTTTGTGGGTATGATAGTGCCAGTTGTGGAAAACAGTGATGGTGGATGTGGGAGGATGGAAGGTGGTGGGGTAAGTTTGGGTGGTGGAATCTGGTTGTGTTAATTAGACTTATAGAAGAAAAGGAACACGATAAGGAAAAGGGAGAAGATAGTGAAGTAAATTTTTATTTTTAGTTGAAGGGATTAAGGTCATTCTAGTTTTTCTGTTTCCTCCACTTAGAGATAAATACTGAACCTCTCATTGACATTTTGCTTGAGTGGGGCTGGGTCATCCTTGGTAACTCCCACATCGATTCTGATTCTATATGCTGGTTTGTGGACGAGATTTCATTGTGTAATATTGTTAAGCAATCAACAACAATAGAAAATGAGATGCATTCTAGAGGTACGATTGGGTTCAACAAATGTGACCATTCAATTGCTAGGCTTCAGAACAGCTGCTTGGCCTTTTGGTGCATTAGAAGAAATCATGAAAGAATCCATTCTGAATGCTCTAAAACTCGAGTATAGGCACTTTGATGCGGCTGCAGTTTACTAGTCAGAGTAGACCCTTGGTGAAGCTATAGCAAAAGCTCTACAGCTCGGCCTCATTCAATCTTGCACTGAGCTTTTGCATCACATCCAAACTTTGGTGCTCCGATGCACATCCTGACCGTGTCCTCCCAGTACTACAAAATACTTTGCAGTAAGACAAGACAATTTTCATTTATATTAATAATTAACAAACTCATACATAGTATTTTATTTTGGTTCTGTTTTATTACATGTATTTTTAAGAGACTTGGGTTGGAGTATTTAGATCTATATCTCATTCACTTTCCAATCAGCTTGAAATTCGGGAGCTACGAGGTGCCTTTCAGTAATAAGGACCTTCTTCCCATGGATTTCAAGTTTGTGTAGGAAGCTATGGAGGAGTGTCATAAACTCTGCCTCTCCAAGCATATCGGAGTTAGCAACTTCTCTTGCAAGAAGCTTCAACAGTTACTTCTCACATCAAAGATCCCTCCAACTGTCAATCAAGTGAGTGTTCTATTTTCAACAAATAAGTCTATTATGTTGGTTTCAAATAAAGAGATTTGAGAATAAGGAGATGGAAAAACAATGAAAGAAGGTAAGTTGAGATAGAAGATATTTAATAGGATTTTTGTAGCTAGAAAGAAAATTCTTAGCATGATTATTGTAGCTAGAAAGAATATGTTTAGTATAATTTCAAATAATTATTTTTATATTGTTTTTCAATTTTATCATATTAAGACTATTTAACTCAATCTTAAAATTGATAGATAAACTATCCTATCAAGTTAATGTGCTTGAATGATTAAGGTCAAATCCCTTCATTTCAAATTCAGATCCACAATTAGTCCTAAGTCACTTCCCTCTAGAACAAATATCATATCAATCGTTATTTATTTATTTTTTTTTTGAAGAATTTTGCAAATGGCCTTGAGTATTTTAAAAAAAAAATACTAAATTATTATTTTTTTAGTACTCGAGGTCATTTGCAAAATTATTTTTTTAAAAAAATTAATGATTGATATGATATTTGTTGTTCTAGAGGGAAGTGACTTGAGACTAATTGTGGATGTAAATTTGGAATCAAGGGATTTTTATTTTTTTTCACCAGTAAAAAAGAAAAATTTATTAATGCAATTTGCAAAGATTACATCAATAAAAACTCCAAGCTGCAAAATGGCATCATGGCAAAAATATTCAACACATCAACTAAGCAGACCAACCCAAAAAACAAAAACACAGCCACAGCAGCAAAGCTTCCCAATTGCAAAAATTGATGAACAAACTTGTTAGTACCAGGATCATCTATGCCCATCCAATCAACCACTATACATTAACCCACTTCCACAAACATTCTTCTAAAGAAATCAAAGGATTTGACCATAATCATTCAAGCACATTAACTTGAAGTTTGATATGAGAGTTTACCTATGAATTTCAAGATTGAGTTAAATAGTTTTATCATGATAAAATTGAAATAATTATATAAAAATAATTATTTGAAATTATGCTAAGCATTTTCTTTCTAGCTACTAGAATCATGCTAAGAATTTTCTTTCTAGCCATAAAAATCTTATTAAACATCTTCCGTCTCAACTTACCATCTTTCTTTGTTTTTCTATTTCCTTATTCTTAAATCTCTTTATTTGAAACCCAGTATAATAAACTTATTTGTCGAAAATAGAACACTTACTTGATTGACAGTTGGAGGGATCTTTGATGTGAGAAGTAACTGTTGAAGCTTCTTGCAAGAGAAGTTGCTAACTCCGATATGCTTGGAGAGGCCGAGTTTATGACACTCCTCCATAGCTTCCCACACAAACTTGAAATCCATGGGAAGAAGGTCCTTATTACTGAAAGGCACCTTGTAGCCCCCGAATTTCAAGCTGATTAGAAAGTGAATGAGATATAAATCTAAATACTCCAACCCAAGTCTCTTAAAAATACATGTAATAAAACAGAACCAAAATAAAGTACTATGTATGAGTTTGTTAATTATTAATATAAATGAAAATTGTCTTGTCTTACTGCAAAGTATTTTGTAGTGCTGGGAGGACACGGTCAGGATGTGCATCAGAGCACCAAAGTTTGGATATGATGAAAACCTCAGTGCGAAATTGAATGAGGCTGAGCTGTACAGCTTGTGCTATAGCTTCACCAAGAATCTACTCTGACTAGTAAACTGCAGCCGCATCAAAGTGCCTATACCCGAGTTTTAGAGCATTCAGAATGGATTCTTTCATGATTTCTTCTAATGCACCAAAAGGCCAAGCAGCTGTTCTGAAACCTAGCAATTGAATGGTCACATTTGTTAAACCCAATCGTACCTCTAGAATGCATCTCATTTTCTATTGTTGTTGATTGCTTAACAATATTACACAATGAAATCTCGTCCACAAACCAGCATATAGAATCAGAATCGATGTGGGAGTTACCAAGGTAACGACATACATATTATGTATGTCGTTAATTCATATATTTATGACATACAAAAGTATGCCGTAAAAAAATATGTTTTTTCACGACTTACAAAAAAATGTCGTAAATATTTGTATTTAAGACGATATGCATTTCATGTTGTAAAATATTATAACTTTACACGGCATGCATGAACATGTCGTGAAAAATTCAAAAAAATAAAAATAAAAATTCAATCTAATTTTTTATGGCATGCAAAAGAATGCCATAAAAATGTATATTTTCATGACATATAAAAATGTCATAAAATATTTGCACTTAAAACGACATACATTTCATGTCGTAAAATGTTATAACTTTACACGGCATGCATTAGCATGTCGTGAAAACATCTATTGCACCAAAAGGCCAAGCAGCTGTTCTGAAGCCTAGCAATTGAATGGTCACATTTGTTGAACCCAATCGTACCTCTAGAATGCATCAAATGTATGTCGTAATTAGTACATTTTACGGCTTTTTTTTTTTGCAAGTCGTTAATGCTTTTTCATTAACGACATACATATTATGTATGTCGTTAATTCATATATTTATGACATACAAAAGTATGCCGTAAAAAAATATGTATTTTCACGACTTACAAAAAAATGTCGTAAATATTTGTATTTAAGACGATATGCATTTCATGTTGTAAAATATTATAACTTTACATGGCATGCATGAACATTTCATTTTTTATGGCATGCAAAAGAATGCCATAAAAATGTATATTTTCATGACATATAAAAATATGTTATAAAATATTTGCACTTAAAATGACATACATTTCATGTCATAAAATGTTATAACTTTACACGGCATGCATTAGCATGTCGTGAAAACATCTATTGCACCAAAAGGCCAAGCAGCTGTTCTGAAGCCTAGCAATTGAATGGTTACATTTGTTGAACCCAATCGTACCTCTAGAATGCATCAAATGTATGTCGTAATTAGTACATTTTACGGTTTTTTTTTTTTTGCAAGTCGTTAATGCTTTTTCAATAACGACATACATATTATGTATGTCGTTAATTCATATCCGTAAAAAAATATGTATTTTCACGACTTACAAAAAAATGTCGTAAATATTTGTATTTAAGACGATATGCATTTCATGTTGTAAAATATTATAACTTTACACAGCATGCATGAACATGTCGTGAAAAATTCAAAAAAATAAAAATAAAAACAATAAAGATTGGGAGCTCGAAAAATCTAAGGCTCGATTGGCCCGAAATTGAAAACGACGTCGTTTTCAATTTTTTTGTTTTCCCTTTCTTTTACTCTCTTTCTCTGTGTTGTTTGTTATCTTTAGAAAGAATAAGACACAGAGCTTCACTCTCTCTCATTCTTCGTTTGCAATCTATATGACCAAAATCAACACACAGCTTCATCTTTCTCAAGATCACCATCACCATCACAGACAAACAACAAACAACATCACAAATCCAAGATCACCATCACCTCAAGATCCAAAATCAATTCCTCAAGATCACATCACAGATCCAAAATCACCATCTCTCTCTCTCTCTCTCTTTTTTCTCTCGATCTTCATTACAGAGAAATGATTTTTTTTTTTGGTTCGTAAAGTTCTGCAAGTGGTTTTTTTTGTGAGAATTTTGTGAGTTTTTGATTTAGATTTAGATTTAGATTTTCATGTGGGTTTGTTGATTTAGATTTTAATTTTGATTTTCATGTGAGTTTGTTGATTTGCCTATTGTTGGGTTTTTTTTTTTTTGTTTTTGAGTTTTTGTTTTTGATTTTGATTCATCTGTTTCTGGGTTTGTAGAGCACTGTTGCTGGGTTTGTTATTTTTTTTCTTTTTTGAGTTTTTGTTTTTGTTTCAGAGGACGACTGAGATTCTAGCAAATGATCATTTTCTTCTAGCAACACATTGATCATTTTCAGAAAAAACCAGAATAAAGCACACATATTGATCATTTGGCGAATAATCTAGCAAACAAATTGATCATTTTCTTCTTCTCCTCTGAAACACATTCTCGTAATGAATTAACAAGTTCTTCTGGATCTTCTTCAGAAAAACAAGAGAGAAAAAAAAAAAAAAAAAACCCAAAACCCAAAACGGCGGCGTTTTGGATTTTGAGCCAATTCGAGCCAACATTTTCGAGCTATCAAATGAAACTGAAATAAAAATTCAATCTAATTTTTTATGGCATGCAAAAGAATGCCATAAAAATGTATATTTTCATGACATAAAAATATGTCATAAAATATTTGCACTTAAAACGACATACATTTCATGTCGTAAAATGTTATAACTTTACACGGCATGCATTAGCATGTCGTGAAAACATCTATTAAAAAAAAAATTCAATCCGACTTTTTTTAATATAAAAAATTAACAATTTCGAGCCAAGCTTCTCACCTTAAATTTTTCTAATTAAGGACAATGTAAAAAATAATTTTGCTCTAATTTTTTTAACTTATTTGAGTATATTTATACTTTTATAAAACAAGCCAACTGTAACTACTTTAAAATTTACTAAAACATAAATAAATATAATATGAATAAAATACAATTAAATTTCAATCACATTCTCTTTTTGTATTTTTTAATTTTTATCCAAATTTATAATTCAAACAAAATTTTAAGATTTTTATACAAACATAAAAATAAAATATAAAATTCACTATAAGAAATTAGTGATTTAAAGACTAATATTTAGAAACCAATTGAATTTGGTCTCTAAAAATCATCATTTACAGACAAAAAAAAAATTTAAGAGAAAATTATACAAATACTATATTCCTTTATGATGGGTCAAAAAAAATTATTTAAAGACTTTTAGGGATCCAAAAAAAAAAAAAAAAGTTAAAACTTATGCTGATTTGGGCACTTGACCCCATCTGTGAGGTAGGCAATGGAGACTAATTAATTTGGTTGCTAAAGGTTGTCAAATCCGCGCTGAACTCGATTGATCCCTCCTCCTTTCGATCCCTCCTTCAGTTGTCAAATACGTGCATTCTTAATCTGGATTCGTTCATTTACTATAATCGATCTCAGCCAGGGCTCAAACGATCTCAGCTATTTGTCTAGGACTCAATTGATCTTCAGCTTCGATCGATCTTTGTGCTCAAAATAGTTAGGACTCCATCAATCTTCAACTTGGATCGATCTTAGCTAGGACTCAATCGATCTTCAGCTTCAATCCGAATCGATCTGTGTGCCGCCTCATATCAGAATTGATCTTTAGCTTTCATTTTTCAGAATCGATTGATCATATCTGAATTCATCTTTCAGAATTGATCTTCAGCTTTCATCTTTCAGAATCAAGCTTCAGCTCCAACGTAGACCTGAGTTCTTTGGCTTCAATCTGAAGGTAAATCGATTTGATTTTTTTGCAGATATATATAAGTTTGAGTAAATCGATTTGGTTTCTAACCAAGATCGTAGTAATTTGGATTCAATAGCGATTTGGTATGTTTTCAATCTCTTTCTCTCTTTGCATAGCACAGCATGTATACATGTACATATCTATATATATACTCCTCTGTATTCATTCAAATTGCTTGAATTCAAAATTCTCTACCACTATTGCTTGAGTTTTTCTTGGTAGTTATTCGTGAGATTAGGATAGGGATATATGTTGCTTTGAAATTTGAATCTCATAAGATTACAGAGAGTATATTGAGTTGTTCAGGTTTATTTTGAATGTAGATCTTACTATAATTGAATTTAATATCAGTCATTTAATAAATTTTTTGTAAATCATTTTATGATTGATTCTTTATTCTTAACATTGTTGTTATTTTTTAGGGCATTATTATTCAAATCTAAAAATTAAAACCAATTTTTGTAAAGTTAGATATATAAAATTAGATTAAGGATCATCTCTTGTCAAATTTTTGTCACAGCTGAATTTGTTCATAGCAGTGACGGATTTTCTTGCAGGAAATAAGCTCTCTGGCATATTTGCGGCAACTATTTCTTGCTGGAAATAAGCTCTCTGACAAAGTCATGTGTTTTTGCTTCTTTAGCATTAGTATATTTTATGATATGGTAATGCATTCCATGGGAAACACTGAGTATTGAAGGCTTTGTTTAGTTAAGTCCACCACTGCTCCTTCTAACCTATGTTTGCTATGTTTGAGCATGGATCTTAAAGTTAATACGCCGGAAAAAGTGACTTATTATATTTTCTCATAGTATTTGAACCATTTGTTTTGTGTTTTCTTAAAATTGCTTTCTTGGGAGAAAATGGAAGTGGGATCTGTTGAGGGTAGTTTCCTGTTTAATTATCACATGCCACACACTACAAGACTCTGTTTGGTCTGTGGTGCATGTCTGATGTGGATCACCAATGATTTCTAGTAAGACCAATGTGACAATGATTGCTCATATTGGTATATGTAAATTTTCTTTCTATTATTCTCCTAAAGTGAGGGTTTAGTTTAGTAGAAGCGGTTGATCACACCACTAATGATTTTATTGGCTTTCAAGTTGTAGAAAGCAGAAAACAATTAACAAAAATGCTGCCACAGCGGATGAAGAAAGCCATCACTGACAACCCAAAGAAACTTGCCAACTTGATTGACCTTGTAAATCTTCCTTCAACGCTCCGAGAATTTGTGGGTCAATCTCAGATCTCTCGTTTGGGCTGTTTCATGCGTGTCTGGTCATACATCAAGGCCAACAATCTCCAGGTCCTCCATCTCTCCCTTATGTTTATATATTCAATTATGTAGTTGAAAGTTTTAGAAAGTACATATATTTTTTCTTAAGTAACTATAACTTGTATGATTGATTAACAATCCATGATGCACATACTACTGATTGTGTCTTTATCTTACGTGGATCCTAATGCATTAGGTTTTGTGGTTTCATTTGGGAAATGTGAGAATAGTTTTTTAATGATTTAACAAATGTAATGATCTCTCATTTCCATATATTCCATCATTTTTCTCATTACTACATTAGTTACTCACTTCAAAAAATGTTGTCACTTTACTTTTGTGTGGTAAAGAAAAGAATAAGTGATATTACAATTTACAAATATCTTATTTCACTTTTTATTTTATTTTTTTTGGCAAATTTTTACTTTCCTGTTTTGTTACTCTCTCCAAACTCAAATTGGTTAGTACCTATCCTCCTTGAGTTTGAGGGGGGCTGTTAGTATATATTAGTGATTAGTATCTTTTGTATATTATGTACATCTAGTAGTGTTAGTCATAATTGTTAGTGTATCATTATGTCTAGCTTTCATAATGAGTGTTCCCCATTTGCTTTATGCTTTCGGTGCTAATTGGCACCCTATGTATCTTTTCCTCTCTATAAAAGAGAGTGCACATTTCCTTGTAATATACACAATAACATACATCAATCAATAACATCAATCATAATACATACAATTCTCTCTCTATATCAATTTATCTTACATTTTGATTTCCATTATATCATTTTTTAGCCAGTTTCTTATTTGAGTTTTTTATTTGGACTTACTGCTTTTTCCTTACAATATCTCAACTCTACGCCCATATACCATGGCTGATAAGTACTTAAACATCCTTGAGTTGACCTTATTCTTGGCTGATTTTGTGGAATTACCTTCATAACATCTCAACTGCCAATTGTTACAAATGCACACATATCTCTCTACAACAGTAGGAACTGAACCCAGGTACACCTGTTGTGCTCTCATATTATTCTTGTTTCAGGCCTCCTTAACTACAATGCTGGGATGGCACTGCACATCTGAAGTTTGAAGATACAGAGGTTGGTTTTCTGAACTGCAACTGTATTGCATAATTGTGAGAACTACACAATTTTGGGAACAAAATCTTAATTTATGAATCTAGACTAATTAATTCATATGAATACTGAGAGCAGCACTGATGATTACATATGTTACAATATACATAAGGAAATTATAGGAATACACCTAGGGAATTCTTAATGGTGTAATCAGCGGCAATACCATTTGTCTTCTTTGTAGGATGGAAGGAATCCCAGAATACATATTTATTGGCATCTGTACAAGTGAAAGGGTTGAATTTGTCACATATGTAACCCATCTCAAGCAAGCCAGTTGCACAACATACTATTGTTGCTTTGTCAAATCCTGTCACAAGGAATACTAACATATTAATTTCAGCACAGCAAAGCCGGATGTGAGTAATAATTTTGAATTTGTATGGAACACAAATGAATAATGACAATTAAGGATTAATTCCTTCCTAATATAAGCCAAAGGTATTTGAATTATGTATCCTGAAAATAATATATGCTCAAAAGAATTGATTATCATTATGCAGGTTGTTGAGTTTGTCCTGGCTTTGCAGGAAGCTCGATGCTTTTCTGTTGTTCTGGAATGTTGTGCTTGCACCTGTTATTGCTTCTGCAACATCTACTCTTTGAATCCCTACAATTGGTATTGGGACAGGACCTTTCTGTATTGGCCAAGTTAATTCCTTGCCCATAAACCCATCTCAAGCAAACCTTCAATGTAGCAACATTTAAATTATATGAAGTCTCATACTCTAAATAGAAAAGATTCGATGGAAGAATTAGTTGTAGATTATTCTAATTTGGACTTCATAACTCATATTTTGCTTCATTTAACAAAACTCAAATCAATGATGGTGATCTTACTAAAATCGTCACCTATGATCTAATGGTTTAGTATTTGCATAGTGACTATGATTTGACCTTTAGACCAGGTATTATGGGTAATAGTTGTAGAAGTCTAGAGAGTTTGCCGAATAGGGCTTGTGATAGGTGGAGTCCTAATTGGATTGGAATTTGGGTTAGCAGTTATTATCCAGTCACCAATAGCTATTGGTTATAAGCTTGCGAGATCCTATCACACATAGAAAGACTGGATATGGTTTTTTTTTTTTTTTATTGATCGGCGAAAGTTAGTAGTTAGATTAGCACCTAAGGGGAATTGAACTCCCACCCTCATCTTGCAAGCACTTGTAAGTCTTGCCCTATTTCACTCCTAAGAATGGAACTAAAGCCCTCCTCATAGGAGAGACTTGATGGCCAAATGATAATCCCTTGGTTAAACTGGATATGGTACCATATCGTCTCGTTTTGTTTGCTGATATTCGTCAACGATCATTAATGCAAGTATGCAATCTTTTAACAAACTAGTATGTTATTGCAATAATTTATTGCTATTGGGTTATGATCCCTACATTATAATATGCTTAGCAATAATGATTATTATATCATTATTGATTACAAGCATCACAAGATTTTCAGTTGTTAGTGGAGATCATGATGTAGACCTTAAATGGCATAAATTTATGTATTTGGATATACCATGTTGAGAACGAACAGTTATCGTAGTTAGAATAAACAGATTAGAAAATTAGAAGGATATAAGAATATGGCAGTAGGAACGTGATTGCGATTGTTGGCCATATATGTTTTTTGGTGGCCACTGTAATTTTGGTTTAGACTTTGAATTATGCAATTTTAAGTGCTTATTTTTGTGCATGTATATATATAAATAGGCAGAGCATCTACAACAGATGCCTTACATTTGTTTTTTAACTAAATTAAGGAGTTAATTATTCAAAATCATCGGAAAAAGTAAATAAATGTGAGGCACAATACATTGGAAGCACAATTGAAGAATGCAAAATGAACAAAATTAAGTTGAAAAACTAAGATACAAACAAACAAAATATGAAAGTATTTTACATAGAAGTAAGAGAACATACATCTAACCATTCTTATATCTACAGTGACAGAAATCTCATGCATAGAGAATATCCTTTCACAATAAACCAAAATCAACATTTTTTTTCTTCAAATTATAACCTTAACAAGTCATAACACCGTCTCCAACTTATTCATTATTTCCAGATCGAACTGCTTAATATAACATTAGATACTTTCATCCCCAAGCTCTTCAACAGATTTATATGGGGCCTTGGCCGGATATGAACTCAATTCCAAGACACCCTTTTTTCCGTGGAATTTGATCAATCTTCTCAAGACTCTTTGGGGCTTAGCATCCAATCAAGTATGTCAAAACTTTCTTTGATCCGCTCTTTGTTAAAGCTCTTCACAAGTATGCTCACTCCTAGCTCATAAACCCACTTCAAGCAAACCTTTCCATGTAGCAACGTTAAGATAATGTAAAGATTATACTCTAAATAGAATACACTTGACAAAAGAATTAGGTATATATTGTTTTAATTTTGGATTTTATAACTTATATACATATATATATACTAGCATATCACTCGCGTTATGCACAGATTGTGTTTATAATTATCTATATATGTGAATTGTGATTTTTAAATGTTTTTTTTTTAAATGTCTTCTTTTTTTCCTTTTTTATATTATATTAAAGTTTAATATTTTGATAATAATCATATGTGTTGGACTTTTCAAATTTTTTTTTTTTTTATGCTTGTTCTTAATACATTAAAGTGTTATTATGAGGGATAATAATTTTATGTGTTGGGACTTTTCAATGAATTCATATGTGTTGGATTTCAAATAATTTTTTTTATGGTTGTTTTAATGCATTAAAGTGTTATTATGATGGTAAGACTTGGGAGTTGGGAGAAGTTAATAAATGCTAAGATTTTTTTTTTTAAATCAAAAAATCAAGAAATTTAGATTGGGATATTGGAGCTCCCAGCAGACTTAGGGTTAAAAACCCTTTTTTACTTAATATATAACTAACATATCACTCGTGCTATGCACAGATTGTGTTTACAATTATCTATATATGTGAATTGTGATTTTTAAATGTTTTTTTTTATTTTATTTTAAATGTGTTTTTTTTTTCATTTTTTATATTATATTAAAGTTTAATATTTTGATAATAATCATATGTGTTGGACTTTTCAATAAAATTTTTGTATACTTGTTTTTAATGCATTAAAGTGTTATTATAAGGAATAATAATCATATGTGTTGGGACCTTTCAAGGAATTCATGTGTTGGATTTCAAAGAATTTTTCTATGCTTGTTCTTAATGCATTAAAGTGTTATTATGAGGGTAAAACTTGGAAGTTCGGAGAAGTTAATAAATGCTAAATTTTTTTTTAAAAAATAAAAAAATCAAAAAATTTAGATTGGGAGATTGGAGCTCCCACAATTCTTGGGGTTAAAAATCTCATTTTGCTTAATATATAGTATAGATTAGCATATCACCCGTGCTGTGCACGGATTGTGTTTATAATTATCTATATATGTGAATTGTGATTTTTAAATATTTTTTTTAAATGTTTTCTTTTTTTCCTTTTTTATATTATATTAAAGTTTAATATTTTGATAATAATCATATGTGTTGGACTTTTCAATAAAATTTTTGTATACTTGTTTTTAATGCATTAAAGTGTTATTATAAGGAATAATAATCATATGTGTTGGGACCTTTCAAGGAATTCATGTGTTGGATTTCAAAGAATTTTTCTATGCTTGTTCTTAATGCATTAAAGTGTTATTATGAGGGTAAAACTTGGAAGTTCGGAGAAGTTAATAAATGCTAAATTTTTTTTTAAAAAATAAAAAAATCAAAAAATTTAGATTGGGAGATTGGAGCTCCCACAAGGCTTTGGGTTAAAAACCCCATTTTGCTTAGTATATAATATACATAGATAGCATATCACTCGTGTTATGCACGGATTGTATTTACAATTATCTATATATGTGAATTGTGATTTTTAAATAACATTTCAATGTTTATATTTATTTCAGATTTTTTTTTAATACATAAATTATATTTTTTAAGATTTTTTATAAAAATAATTTAACAATCTTATCACTAACCATAGTGTATGAGAGGAGTTGAAAAAGATACTGCAGTAATTATACACAGATTGTATCTATAATTATTTATATGAGGGGATTTTAAATGCTGATCAGGGGATTTTGACCAAATCAATAAATGCAGGTATGTGGAAAGACATGTGGATTGAAAAAAGTTAATAAATGCTGATCAGAGGATTTTGACCAAATCAATAAATGCTGAGTTTTTTTTTTTTAATAAAAAATTTAAAAAATTCATATTGGGATATTGAAGCTCCCACAGGCCTTGGGGTTAAAAATCCCCCTTTACTTAATATATAGTATAGATATAGATATAGATAGATGTGTTGGACTTTTCAAGAATTTTTTTTTATGTTTGTTCTTAATGCATTAAAGTGTTATTATGAGGGATAATAATCATATGTGTTGGAACTTTTCAAGGAATTCATATATTGGATTTTAAAGAATTTTTTTTATGCTTATTCTTAATGCATTAAAGTGTTATTACGAGGGTAAGACTTGGGGTTGAGAGAAGTTAATAAATGCTAAGTTTTTTTTTTTTTTAAATCAAAAAATCAAGAAATTTAGATTGGGAGTTTGGATCTCCCACAAAGCTTGGGGTTAAAAACCCCATTTTGCTTAATATATAGTATAGATAACTCGTGCTATGCACGGAACTTTATAAATTAAAAAACAAATCATTATAAATATGTTGAAGTAATTTAATATTTTATCTTGTGGAATATATGAAATTTACAAGTTAATTTTTATGTCTATAACTTTTTTAATTAGTACTTTAAAAAAATTAAAAATATATATATGTCTATCAAAAATGCTTAGGACCCCAACAACCCCTTTGGATTTCACCTATTCATGTATGTGTAGGACCTACTCATGTATGTGTAAGGTCCACACCATCAATGGTTGAGATCCAAATGGGCTTATGGGGGTCCCCAAAAAATGGGGTCTCAATCATTGTTGTAAATCTATTTAGTGCAATTTTGATAATTTGTAATTAAAAAAAAAAGAAAGTTAAGCCTAATTAAATGAGGTTATATGAGTTATGATATAACTCTTCTTGTTATGAAAATAGATAAATTTAAAATTACAATAAAGACAAATATACAATTTTATTATTAAATGTGAAGTGAAGTGATATTTAACAATAATTGATATGATGTTTCTGTTATTAATCCAATAATTTAAGTTATATTTCTTTTGATTTTAATTTCATAACTAAAAATACAATATGAATATAACACACAAATTTCTAGTCTTTAAAAATAAAAAAATTTAGAATATTTCCAACCTTTCATCATTTTCTTTTATTTTTTTTAAATCTAATTTGATTTTAAATTTGAAAAAAGAAATTGATTTGTTATGAATTACTTTAACTTTTTCATTAAATTATTATCAAGTTTTAAAAGAACTTTCATTCTTATCCCAAATTTTTTTTTTCTTTTCATCAATTTTGATGAAAAAAAATGACGCTTCATCTTTTTAAATTTTTATCAAATTATAATTCGATAAAAAAAATATTAATGGTTGAAGATTCTCTTAATTAGAATTATAGTGAAATAATATCTTGAAATAGTGAAATTTTGAGTATGTAGTTAGTTGAAATGTATAATTTGATTAATTCTCTTCTTATAAATCTCACTAAAATCGAAATTGAAACCAAAACCAAACCAACAACGGAGAAAGAGAATCACACAGGGAAAAAAGTAAAATTACAGAACAAAAATATTTATGGAGTGATATAATATTCCCCTCTACAACTTAGTCTTCACCCCACCTAATCTG